TAGACGTAAGGATGATTCCAGGCAAGGTTTTATTGGTCAGTTACCACATTTATGGACTGCACAATAAAAACCTTGTTTGTTTATTCCTATTTCTGATGGCCTTTAGGTAACATGTTTTTTTATTATTATTATTATTATTATTACTATTATTATTACTATTACTATTACTATTACTATTACTATTACTATTATTTAAATTTGTTACAGCTGCCCACTCTATTAGACCCTGGGTGGCTTACAAAGTCCAGAAAAAATAAAAACAATTAAACACACATAACCACACATAAACACGCAGCCTGGACTAAAACAACCCAAAAGATAAGCCATACAAATACAACAGGGGCCCACAATACATCAATGAATACATTAACTCCAGACCTGGGAACAGAACCAGGTTTTAAGGACTTTCCAGAATCCCAGGAGAGTGGGTGCTATTTGTATCTCTGGGGGGATGCTGTTCCAGAGGGCAGGGGCAGCAACAGAGAAGGCACATTTCCTTTGTCCGACAAGAGGGCAGCATTTAGTAGAGGGGACCTGGGCTGCACCCACTCTGTCTGAACATACCAGGCAGGCAGAGACAATTGGAGATCAGTAGTACCTCAGATTACCAGGCTTAAAAGTTGACAACCAGCACCTTGAATTGTACCTAGAAGCCTGCTGGCAGCCAATGCAACTCACATAGCAATGGCGACACATAGGCATACCATGAGGTGCCCATGACTGCTCATGCCACTGCATTTTGTACCAGCTGTAGCTCCCAAATAGTCTTCAAGGGCAACTCCATGTAGAATATATTGCAATAATCATTGCAATGAGGTGACCAGGGAATGAGTGGCTGTCTGAAGGACCTCCACAGCATCCTCCCTCACTGTACAGAGCATATCAAGTACCTTGTATATACTCTAACGAAGGGCAATGACACAATAAAGTCACATATCTGCTCTGGGCTGGAGTCCACTGTGGTGAGCAAGACAATATATTTTGTTGGTAATTGGGATTCTTTTTCTCTTATGGAGCCCAAGGAAGCAGCTAGGGCCCTCTATCGTTTGAATTTTGACACCTGCAGACTTGATCCATATCCCTTCTGGCTTCTTTGGATGGCTTGGCTGGGGCAGGGGCAATCAACTCCTCTCTGAGGAAAGGCATAGTGCTTCCTGCTTTGAAAGAGACAGTAGTGTTCTATCTCCTGAAAAGGCTATCCTGGACCCAGCTGTCTTTGATAACTTCCGTTCCTCAAAGATTGCTAAGAAGGTGAAGATGAATTAGCTACAGAAGATCCTAAATGAAAAAGATTTTCTGAATCCTTTTCAGTCAGGATTCAATCCTGGTTATGAGAAAGAAACAGCACTGTTTGCTCTGGTTGATAACCTATGCAGGGACCCAGATGGGGGGAATATGCCCCATTTAGTTCTATTAGACCTCTCAGCACTGTTCAACACCATCCAGTGTGATATCTTTCTGGACTCCCTGCACAGGTTGCGATTTGGAGGTACCATTGTACAATAGTTTTGCAGGCTCCCTATTCTATATTTCACTAGCTCCCTATTCAAGCCACAATCCAGTTTAGACTACTGGTGTTTGTACATAGACCCCTCCAGTCACAAACTCCCCAGGATTTCTCTTATGTCTTCTTACACTCCTGTTCATTCTTTAGTTCCTCTGAGCAGAGACAATTGTTGGTTTCTTGCACCATGGTCTCAGCTTCCAGGCCTTGGGTACTTAGCCACACAACTCTGGAATTAATTTTCTTTCTTTCTTTGTCTCTATGGAAACCTGATGGCTTTTGAAAGGGGTTTAAAGATGGTGTTTATTGAGCGGAAGGGATATTGCAGAAACTGATCATTCCACTCTACTCTTACTTAGCTGACAGTTGTAGGTTATCACCTGTTTTAAATTATTATGGATGTACCTATGTTGAGTCCTATCCCAGGGCATTGTTTTAACTTTGTGTTGGTTGTTTTACTGTTAATATTTGTCTACTGGGGTCTGAGCTAATTTGGGGGAAATTATTTGTAATTTTTGCAGAAGTTTTGTGGCTTGTTTTCCTGAATGATTCCGTTTCATGGTCAAGAGAGGCCACACTCAAGTCCTTGGAAACTCCAGTGTGGGGTGCTTCAGGCCTTTATACTATTTAGCATCTGCTTGGAGATTTCTGTTCAACCCCTGACATTTATGCCGAGAGGTTCCAAAAGTTCCGTTTTATTCCCAAGACTGCTTATCCTGTATATGAAACTTTTGCATGAGATCATATTATGATTTAGAATAAAGTATCATCAATATGCTGGTGACATGCAGCTCTGTCTCTTTTTTCATAAGATCTAGTACTGGCAGTGAAAGTGTTTGAATCAATGTTATGAACTGGATGAGGGCCAACAAACTGTAGCTCAGTCCAAAAAAGCCAGAAGTGCTGTTAGTGGAGGGCTTATCTGTCCAGCAGAGTGGCATTCAGCATGTTCTGGAAAGGGCTGCAGGCCTCTAAAGAATTAAGTTCATAGCTTAGGGGTGCTTCTAGAGCTTTCATGGTCATTAGAGGCATAAGCGTCCACTGTGGCACAGAGTGCCTTTCACCAGACTACACTGACCTTCCTGTTATCATCCTACTTGGACAGAGACAGCTTCACTACAGTAATCAGTGCCCTAACAATATCACATTTGAATTACTTCAAAGTATTTACATGTGGGACTGCCCTTGAAAATTATCTAGCAACTCCAGTTAGTACAAAATACAAGTGTACTGACTAGAGCTGGCATTATGAACATATTAAGCCAGTTTTATAAAAACTTTCCAGTTTATCTCTGATCCTAATTTAAGGAGATGGTATTAACCTATAAAGCCCTTCATAGCTACAAACTGCAATATCAATAGAGGCGAATATGTGTAGCTCAGGGTTGAACTGTGGAGTCCTTGGGGTTCTCTGAGCTTGGTTCTTTTCTTACAAACATCTCATTACCCACTAGGTAACATCTTCAGTGCTAAAATGGGAAGGGGTTTGCTCTCTATTTATGCTGCTGCCTTCAGACAAGGCAGCAGTTAACAGACACATAAACAACATCTACATACTGTAGAGACAAAAGACCAGAAGAGCACCTCACCAGCAATCATCACCCAGATAAGCAAAGGTTACACATAAACAACATCTACATACTGTAGAGACAAAAGACCAGAAGAGCACCTCACCAGCAATCATCACCCAGATAAGCAAAGGTTGCCACCAGGCACACAAGCAGTAAACAGTACCCTAATCAAGGAACTACCAGAGGAGCAAAACAAACCCCCAACCCCCATCAGCACTGGCAAGGCATGCCACAGTATACTGTATAGAGAGCAAACCCGATCCCATTTTAGCACTGAAGATGCTACCTAGCCGGATAATGAAACGTTTGCAAGAAAAGAACCAAGCTCAGAAAACTCCAAGGACTCCACAAACTGCAATATCTGAAATCTGGGGGGTTCTCTTGGACTCACAGCTTCTGCTCAATGAGCAGGTGGCAGCCATGGCCAGGAGAGTTTGTGCATTGTGTACCAGTTGTGCCCATTCTAGGGTCAGGAGGCACTGATCACAGTCACCCATGCTTTAGTCACCCCATAACTGGACTATTACAACATGCTTTATGTGGGGCTGCTCTTGAAGAGCATTTGGAAGCTTCAGCTGATCCAGAGTGAAGCAGCATATGCAGGTTGGGCACAACGTGGTACACTTATGTAACACCACTGCTATGAGAGCTGCACTGGCTTCCATTGGGCTTCCAGGTGTAATTCAAAGTGCTGGTGGTCACCTTTAAAGCCCTGCATCCCATGTGACCAGATCACTTGAGGGACCACCTTTCTCCAGTGGTATCCACCTATCCGACTAGATCTGGCAGAGTGGGCATACTCCAGGTACCCTCAATGAAGCAGTGTCACCTGGTGAGTCTCAGAAAGCATGCCTCCTCTGTCATGGTACCTGTCCTATGAAGTAGCTTCCTCCCCCAAATACAGACAGTCCCAACTCTATTGGTCTTTCACAAGGCCACAAAGACCTGGCTCCTCCCCCAGCCATTTAGGCCAGGGTGTTTGTTTTGAGTACAGGTGTATGTGATTAGTGATCTTAACTAAGCCTTGATGAGGTTTTATTTGGTTTTTCTTGGACCGTGTTTTTGTTCAACACTAGAGTTTTTTGAATAGATGGGTGACCATATGAATTGGTTGGATAGATACATACATAAATACACTGATTTCTATAAGCTCCTACATGTACACTAAGATCTTCAAAGCCTTGATATTGGAGACTTCCCTGGCTGATGATGTAAGTGGCTACCCAAAGCAAGCTTTTTCAGTGAGAGTCCTCTAACTCTGTTTTACCTTTCCCAAGGATGCCTGATGCCAATTTTATTGCATTTTAGCAAGTTAAAAATCATTTTAACTTGTACGCTCTGAATAAAATAATATGCTAATTTCAAACACAAATGCTGCTAAAGTTATTTAAATGAATATGGTGGCTGTTTTTATTGCTTGATTGTGTATATTAACACATACTGCTCCGACATTTTTATTTTGCAATTTTAATTTGTTATAAGGTCTCCTGGAACAATCTGTTTTTGAATGATGACATACTAATTTTAACAGCAAGTAAATATAGTGGCTCTAATAGAAGTTGGAAGACTTGTACATGACAGTTGGTGTAACAAAATTAACATATTTTTAAATCCCCAAATAACTTACACCAGTATCTGAGCAGAGTGTGTGGCAGCTGCTTAAAAAGTCTGCACATCTGAGGCCCCACTGAAAAATTCATGTGCCCCTGCCAGACATATAGGTTTTGTCCTCCAGCACATTGATAAAAGCTGCTGGGAAGTGCTTGCTGAAAGCTTCATTGTCCACAGGACAGTTTGTCATATTTTCTTTCTATAATATGATGTCCAAATGCTTCCAGTAACTATTGGATATATCCAAACTGAAATCACAACATTGAAACAGGCTTTCATGTACTGGTTTGATAATGATTTCTTTTCTCTTTTAGCTCACAACTCCAGTTTTCCCAGTAGTCATCAAGCTAGGACATGCTCATGCAGGAATGGGGAAGGTAAGGAAGTAGCAAGGCAACAGAATATGTGCATCGATGCTCTCACTGTGGGTATGATAGTGCAGAATCTCTTCAGTCAAATAAGTCAAGTTTCTAAAATCTTTGTGTCACCCTTCATGAAAAGAGGTAAGTCCATACTATGTTGGTCATGTTGGCCAGACCATATGAAAGAAACAGATGGGTACTGGGTAGAGGGCAGGATACTGAAGTAAAAAACAGTTACAGGAAATTTAATGTGATGAGGGCAAGGGTATTTGATTCCAGGGTAAATTCACAAAACCTGGAAGACATATTAGGAATAATTGTTTCAAAGGAAAGTAGGTCCTGTCTTCCAGCGTAAGCAGATTTTTTTTAATTACAAAGCCCTAGGATCAGCAACATGGTAGAATATCTCTACTTTCTTTTTTCCTTTTTCTTCTTTTTCTAATATATGTCTGTGTGCTTTCGGTTTAATTAAAGGCAAAAATAAACAATAACAACTGTAGAAGATCCACTGGCATTGAAAATCCAGTATCTGATTATTACTGAGAATGATCCTCAGATACTACTACAAATTATTTTTCATGTCTGGGTCAGCTGATGGAAAGTTGTTAGCTTATCATTTCTATAACATTGTTTTTCTGCCCAATAAGCCATTCTCCCTTGACTTCTATTTCTATATCATTATTTTGTTCATTTCATATCCAAGGCAAGGAAGAATTTGAATTTAAGTGACAGTTCCTTTCTTCAGTCTAGCAAACACTTTCTCTGCTTGGCAACAGAACTTGTAAGGAAGAACTAAACTAATCTGACCAAGAGTTAATGACCTGGCTTATATGGGTTTTGCTTAATCATGGTTTATTGAGGAAATCATAATAGCTTTGGATCACACAATACATACTAAGCCATATCTCATCCTATACAATCAAACCACAATATACTTTAGCACAATGTGTGAACCTCCCAAATATATGACAAGCAAATTAGAGGAAGAAGCTGGTAGAACCGAGATTGAGAGTAAAGAAGCCAAAACCTAAAATGTGAACTGGTTCTACTATTCCATAATATTTGTATATTTTCTTCTTTTTAATATAGCTGGGTTGCATTTGAATTTCATATTGGGCTACCATGATCTTTCCCACTTTAAAAATGCTTTTGGGATCCTGACTATGGGTTTACTTAACAATCCACAAATTAGGCATGAGGGAACAGGCAAACATTTGTCCTGACAATGTTTTTTAAAGAAGCACTCATTTCCAAAAAGAAAACATACTTTTGCTAGTTTTCTTCTTGCTAGCTGGTTTGCAAAATTTAAAATATGTGTGTTTATGTTTGTGTTTGTGTTTGGGGGTGGGGGGGGTGTTACTGGCAACATTCAGTAAATGTTGCCTCATTTTTCCTCTTTTTCCCTCTTCTCACCCAATAATATGACATACCCATGTAAACACATACCATGCCATGGACATCAGCTCTATCATGGATATTTTAACTGTGACTGAATGCCACATGTAACCAAGGCCATTTAGTGAACACTGAGATGTAAAAGGAATTTAAAGCTGAAGTAGACAATATGCAAGAGGCATATTGCCCAACTTTAAGATTATTTCCATTTATTTAAGCACAACTAGTCTTTTATAGGATCATTTAATATAGAGAAGCCTAATTCCTAGCTCTTTAATTTTGAAAAACACAGTCCTTATGCAAGAACAGGGTTTATTGGAAAAAGAATATAGCTCCATTGGAACCTATTGCCCACACATAGAGGATGATTTTGTAAAGGGGATATTTTTTTTAAAATGTATTTATTTATTACAGTTATATCCTGCCACAATCTGATGACTCTCAATGATTTATGTGATATAAGAAAAATCAAATAAAACACCCATGGTACATTTAAAAACAGAAATTGAATAATTAAATTATAAAAATTTAAATCAAGTCACAAAAATCAAAACCAATACAAACTATAACAACAGTAACATGAAATGAAATAACAAAAATAAGAAAATTGTTTTTAAAGATGGTGACTTAATCCTTGTTTTTGATCACCTCAATCCAGATCATCATATCATGTACTTAAAATTAGGATCATAAAATAAGATACTAGGGCAGGACTATATACAATTTGCATTTAGATAATAGTTTTACTTTATATGATTAAAATCATACTTTTTAATCAAATTTGAAATTAAAGAAACATGCAAGCATAGAGAAATTAAAATCAGGATCAATCCATGTATATCAGTCTCAAATATGTGGGTTTTCGAGTCTCCCTTTGAAAATGAAACATAAATAAAATTATGCAGACAAAAAGATTCTATTACTTAGGTGCCTTAGGCAGAAATGTCCAGCTAGTTCACCTTTTCTGCGTGAACAGATTTATGGGATAGTTAGGTGTCTTCAAGTCAAATCTGGTCCTTATGGACAACCTGCCATCTCAACCTAGCCAATGCACAGCTCTGCAAAGAACCTTCCAGTGATCTCATTGAAGCTGTCCATTCATCTTATCTGTTGTCTTCTACTTTTCCCAACCTTGCAAATCAAAGCTATTTTTTCTAATCCATCATCTCTTTGCATCACATGTCCCAAATATGTGAATTCCGGTTTGCTTGTTGTCATCTCAAGGGAGCAGTTGATCTTTGTTTTGTCCAGGACCAACTGATAGGCTTGTTTTGTAGTCCATGGTACTTTTACATGTGTCAACAAAGTGTCTACAAAGCCATAATGCATAGATGTCTACCTTCTTTCTCTCATTCTCTCAGCTATAGGACAAAATAGAATGATTGTGGAAAGCACAGGTGGGTTACAAGTGGAAGATTACCTTATCTAGACGTCCATCCTCCTAAAATTCCACATAGATGGTAGGGTGATGATATAATAAAAGTCTTTGTGGAAGTAATTAATCCCTCTGAATTTGTACACCAAGGAGTAAAAAGTTCTCAATCTCTATTTTCTCATTCCTGTTAAAGGCAATTGTTGACACCACTGAATGATCCTACTGAATGACAGCCTCCTGAGTTCCTACCCCTCCAAAAGAAATGTAACTTCCCTCTCTCTCTCTCTCTCTCTCTCTCTTGCCTTCTCTCTCTCTCTCTCTCTCTCTATATATATATATATATGCATACATACATATATATACACACACATACATACATGCATGTTGAGATAACTTCATATAACCTTGTTTGCTTCATTGATGCTGCAAATTACCATCTGTTGTTTTCCTACAATTAAATGAACTGTTATCTACAAAGCAATATGTATTATTTAAGATAGATGCCACAAAGGCAATTTTCTTTCTTGACATATCCATCAAATAACAGAGGAATAAAATAAACCAATATTTTCTTTATTCCACAAAATTCAAAAATATTTAGCAAGAATAGTCTGTTTTTCTATTCTTATCTAGGTCTCCATCCTGCATACAAAAGCTGTGTTGTTTGCAGAAAGGCTCCAGACAACTTTTATGAGTAATCTAGTGTCAAAGCAGAAGTCTTTAAATAAAAAGGAAATCAAGCTGAAGTGAATTTAAGAATGAAGAGGAACTCCCAGTCAAAATTTTGTAAAAATCAAACTTGCTCATAAGAAACCCAATCTATAATCTTTCAATCCAAATTGATTTTAACATTCCCATAAATTCTATATTCTCATAGATATTGGGCTTTAGGTAAAAAAGAAATTATATAGTATTGTGTGTGGCAAGTGTTATCTAACTTCTCACAGATAAAACAATAGAAGTGCATTTTGAAATGTTTGTCTTTTTAACTAAGTTAAATTTTGAATTGATATAACATTTACTTTTATCATATATAAGAAAGCAAGCTTCACTTACTTGTGTATGTGTGTGTGTGTGTGTGTGTGTGTGTATTCATTGATTATCAGCCCAAGTCAATCCACTGCAGAATAAAGGCCTCTTCATCTGCTCTCCAGCTTCTTCAAAATGCCACAAATCACAACATTTTTTAATTAAGTTATATCATCTGCCCAGTATTCTTGGGGCATTTTCTAGGCCTTTTAAAGTTAGTTGGTATCTAATCAAGGATTGTTGTTGTCCACCACTAATCTGCCCATCAAGTGATATGGCCAGCCTACTGCCATTTCCATGAGGTGACCTGCTTCACTATGTTACATATTCCAGTCTTTTCTATATACTTATTTTTGTCACATCATGCTATGTTAAGCATTTGCCATTTCATGCTTTCAACTCTGTAACTTTAACTTCTGCACTGCTTTTGCATTTATTGTCCAAATTTCACAACTACATGTCAGCACAGGTAATATAATTCATTAATTGATTAAACAATTCCCTCTTTAAGGAGGTTGGTATGTTGCTTTTGAGCATGAAATTGTCCTAGTGCTCTCCAACCTAGTTCAAAATTTCTTCTATATCACCTTCTATGGTAATTTTTTGACTGAAGTGGGGGGGGGGGGGGGGGGGGGGGGGGGGGG